CAGGTTGGGGGAAGGGACTAGGAGAGGGGCTGAAAGAGGGGCTCCTGGGGTCCATCATGGCACAGGCACTACACGCATGGTGTTGGTGAAGCCAGAGCCAGGGCGCCACCCAGTCAGCACAATGACCACATCTCCCGACTTGAAGAAGCCTCGGGCCTTTCCTGGAAGAAAAAGAGAGAGGTTATTGAGTAAAAGCCAAGCAGGGCAGGTCCTCCCAGCAGAGGCAGCAAGCAAAGCTGATCATTCCTTCTTCGACCACCAGATGGCGCCACTCTCATGGCCCAGGCAAAAGGCTTGAGAGGCCTTGAGACTTATCACTCAGGTGGCAGAGTTGACAGGGACCTTTGGACATCATTCACTTTACAGGGTGGAGAGCCTTGCCCAAGGTCAGAGTTAGCTGCTTCTTCCCATCCTGTGACATCCTATCTTATACAGGGACAAAGGCCATATCAGTACATTATCTTGTGTGCTACCCTCCACAGTGCGGAATAATTTTTATTATTTTAAAACAGAGTCTTATTCTGTCACTCTGGGTAGAGTGCCATGGCATCATCATAGCCATGGCATCATCATAGCCACAGCAACCTCAAACTCCTAGTTTCCAGTGATTAACCTCAGCCTCCCAAGTAGCTAAGAGTACAGGCAGCAGGCCAGGAGCTGTGGCTCAAACGTATAATCCTAACACTCTGGGAGGCTGAGATGGGTGGATTGCCCTGAGCTCAGGAGTTGGAGACCAGCCTGAGCCAGAGCAAGACCTCTTCTCTACAAAGAAAAGAAAAAGAAAAAGAAAAGCTGGGTGTTGTGGAGGATGCCTATAGTCCCAGCTACTTGAGAGGCTAAGGCAAAGAATCGCTTAAGCCCAAGAGTTTGAGGTTGCTGTGAGCTGTGATGCCAGAGCACTCTACTAAGGGCCACAAAGTGAGACTGTCTCAAAAAATAAATAAATAAATAATAAAAAGACTACTGGCCCCCACCATGCATGGCTATTTTTAGTAAAGATGGAGTCCCACTCTTGCTCAGCCTGCTCTTGAACTCCTGAATGCAAGCAATCCACCCTCCTCAGCTTCCCAGAGTGCTTGGATTATAGGCGTGAGCCACAATGCCCGGCCCACCAATTTATTTATTTATTTATTTATTTTTATTTTTTTGAGACAGGAGCCTCAAGCTGTCCCCCTGGGTAGAGTGCCGTGGCATCTCAGCTCACAGCAACCTCCAACTCCTGGGCTCAAGCGAGTCT